CAAACAGAGTAATGTTGTGTATGCTGTTCAGTGTCAGGAGGGCTGTGATCAGTCTTACATCGGAGAAACTAAACAGCCACTGGCCAAAAGGATGGCCCAGCACAGAAGATCAACATCATCAGGCCAGGATTCTGCTGTCTACACTCATCTCCAGGCCAGCGGTCACTCTTTCAAGGATGAAGATGTTCACATCCTGGACAGAGAGGAACGATGGTTTGAGAGAGGAGTAAAGGAGGCCATCTTTGTGAAAAGAAATCGTCCATCATTAAACAGGGGTGGAGGCCTCCGGGTTCAACTGTCCCCCTCTTACAATGCTGTGATTGCTAGTATCACTCAGCCCTCTGTGAGTAGTAAACAGCCATCAGTGTGCTAATGACCCATTGTTAGGCTGATGGTCCTTCTTGAGCATGTGATCAGGTGGTTTTGGTTGTCAGCAGCAAACTGGTTGATCCACCCTGAGAAGGTGCTATTTAAGAGACTGAGCTGAAAACAGCACCTCAGACTGAGGAAGTCTCTTGGATGAGAGACGAAACGTTTCTAGATTTTTTTTGCTTTGTTTTGTTTTTGTTTTTTTGAATGTCCAGAGGACCAGATTGAACTTTTTTGGATTTTAGCTCAGTTTTATATTTATTTGCATTCTGAAAACAGCTGATTTACCAGTTTCTTTAAACATATGAGCAACATGGTGAAGCTGGCGGTGAGGAATAATTTAGTAAATGTCATCAGATTCTGCATCAAATAGTTGAGATGATTTCATGCAGAATCACAATCTCATTTAGTTGAGCAGTTAAAGACAAGTCTCAGTCCATCACAGGGACACCTGGACAGGTCTCAGTCCACCACAGGGACACCTGGACAGGTCTCAGTCCATCACAAGGACACCTGGATAGGTCTCAGTCCACCACAGGGACACCTGGACAGGTCTCAGTCCATCACAAGGACACCTGGACAGGTCTCAGTCCATCACAAGGACACTTGGACAGGTCTCAGTCCATCACAAGGACACTTGGACAGGTCTCAGTCCATCACAGGGACACCTGGACAGGTCTCAGTCCATCACAGGGACATCTGGATAGGTCTCAGTCCACCACAGGGACACTTGGACAGGTCTCAGTCCATCACAAGGACACTTGGACAGGTCTCAGTC